CTATAGAGCAAGAGAAACACGTATAATATCAATTTAATAGATTTACCCAAGCATTGAGATACCTCCTTTCCAAAATAATTCTGAGTAGATGAAATGTTTCAACCGTCTGACTTCTGTCTCTGACCCACCTTCCTACTCTACTCAGACCCTAAACTGCATAGAATATTAAGATATGAATAAGCTCACCTGTAGGTTCATGGCTGGCTCTGATGAGTGATACAAGGTAGATATGTAACTCTTTTGTTGAGCGAATGAATGAATGAATTAGGGGAGATGAAACATATTATAATGTTTGATGGCTTAAGAGTCATAATGATCTGCTGTTGCTGAGAAAACAATACCACGAGTTGATGTCGTTAAAGAATGTAAATTTATTCCTCACAACTCAAGGGCATGTTGTTATAGCTGTGTGCTGTCACATTGATTTCCCAAAGTGACAGATTAGAATTGGCCTCTAAGGTTTCCTAGGCTGTAATCTTTATAAGAATAGATAGATCATCAGGAATTTTGTCCCTCAGAAAAGCTGGTAGATCTGAATCACCAACCTGGTCTTGGTTAATATCCAAGTGCTTCACAATTACACCACCAGGGCTCCTTGTCATAGAATCATTACTGTTGTTAGATGTCATTGAGATGGCTATGACTCGTATTGACCCTAAGAATAACAGATCTGAATCTTGCCCCGCCCTGCCATGATGTCCTATCCTATCATCTCAAGCTCTTGTTATCATCACTGTGTCAGTTTATCCTGTTGAGGGTCTTCTTTTCTTTCATTGACTCTCCACTTTTCCCAGCATGATGTGTTTTTCCAAGAATTAGTCCCTCCTGACAACATGCCCCAAATACGTACACAAAGTTTCTTCATCTTTACCTGTAAGGAACATCCTGGTTGCATTTTCTCCAAGATAGATTTGTACGTTCTTTTTGAAGTATTCTTCTTCAGCACTACCATTCAAAGACATCAATTTTTCTTTGTTCTTCCTTATTAATAATCCAGCTTTCAGATGCTCAGGAAGTAATTGAAAAGAACATGGCTTGGATCAGGAATACCTTGATATTTAAACTTACATCTCTGCTTCTGTAACATTTTGAAGAATTTCTCCTATGAAGTATGTCTTTTGATTTCTTGATTGTGACCATTATAGGTATTGATTGTGGCTCCAAAATTAAATAATTGATAGCATCAATATTTTCTCCATCTATCACGATGCTGCCTATTGGTTCAGTAGTGAAGATTTTTGTTTTCTTAATCTTGAAAAGTACTCCATCTTGAAGGCTGTAGTCTTTGATCTTCTATACATGCTTCAAATTTTCTTGACTTTCTGCAAGCAAGATCGTGTCACCTATGTTATAGGTTGTTGATGTATCTTCCTCTAATCCTCATGCCATATTTCCTTCATATAATCAAATTTCTTGAATGATTTTCTCAGCATACAGACTGAATAAGTATGGAGACAGCATACAATCTGATGCACATCTTTCCTGGTTTTAAACTATTGTTCCGTTCTGACAACTGCTTCTTGGCCTATGTATAGATTTCCCATAAGTACAATTAAGTGTTTAAGTTACCATTATTTTGTGTTTCAGTTACTTATAGTCAAACAGCACTGTGGTGACGGAACAAAGTTGGTGCATAAGATTTTCTAGGTTCTGATCTTTATAGAAGTGTATAGCTAAGGATTCTTTTGTAGTATGGCTGGGCAGGTTAAAATCATTATCTTTTAGATTGTCAGCTCAAATATGTCACGTGGAGTCAGAATAAACTTGATGGCAAATGGTAATCCTAGTTGGTACAATGGCTTGGATTTTTTTCCTAAAGATGTCAATCAGAAAAGTGATATGATCAGCCAAGTTTTTTTTTTTTAAAAAAAATCATTGTTTGAGTATAGACGATGGATTAGCTAAGGATAAAAATGAATGCAAATAAACTAATTAGGAGACTATACAGGATGACCCTGTCAAATAAAGAGGTGGTGCATGCCCCATATGTACTTTTACATTTTTTAACAGCCATTTTGAAAGCCCTCTATGAGGTGGATTGATTCAGTGACTGGGGTAATCGGGATGAGTGTGTCAGAGGCAGTGCGATTGGCACAGGATAGAGCACGGTTTAGGGCAGTTGTACATAGGGTCGCTGTGAGTCATAAGCGACTTGACGGCACATAACAACAACATTTTGAAAACCATTGGGGAAAACATCTCCGGGCAAAATTAATTTTAGTAATATTCTTATTAACTCAATTGTTGTTCTTGTTGATTGCCTTTGAGTTGAGCATGACTCATAGTGACACTATGAACAAAAGGCCTGAAGCCTTTCAATAACTATCATCATTTATCAAAGTTCATAGAGTTTCCAGAGGCACATTGTTAGGCAGTGGATGCCACTTTTCCAAATTAACTCAATAGGCCCCAGATATTATAACGTCAGTTGTGTAATATGTAAGAGGAAGTTGATTTAGTAGCTTTTAACATTTTAGGTATGTTTTAAAAAATTTTTGTGAGTTCAAATTTGATATTTTACAGTAATTGAGGTAAAATAGTTGTGCTCACGCAAAATCTATACTTTGAGGGAAAAGTAAAACAAAACAAACCTACCTGTACTTGGATCAGGGAGCAGCAGTCAAAACAGAGCAGGGAAACACTGTATGGCTCATGATCAGGAAAGATGTGTGTCAGGGATGCAACCTATCCCCATAGTTTTTCAGTGTGTGGAACAGCTCATTCAGGAGGCTGGACTTTATGAGAAGGAATGTGGCATCAGGATTGGATAAAGGCTCATAAATAAACTATGTTATGCAGATAACACAACCTTGCTTGCTGAAACTGAGGAGGACATGAGGTATTTGCTACAAAATGCCAAGAACTGTGGACTTCAATATGGATTGAAGTACAGTATTAAGAAAACAAAGGTTCTTACCATTGGGCCAAATGACAGTTTCATAATAGAGGGAGAAGAGATTGAGACTATTAGCAGCTTCAGTTTGCTTGATTCTACCATCAATACTCTTGATCCTAGCAGTCAGAAAATCAAAAGATGAATTACATGGGGAAAGTCTGCTGTCAAGGCCCTCTGTGTAGTACTGAAGCATGACAATGTCAGTCTGGAAACTAAGGTGTACCTGATACTGGTCATGGTCTTCACAATTACTTGCTGTGCATCAAAGAGCTAGACAATGACTAAAGATGAAATAATTGATTCCTTTGAGTTGTGGTGTTGGAGAAAAGTGTTGAACGTAACGTGGACTGGCAGGAGAACAAACAGGTCAATCCTAGAGAGGATGAAACCAAGCTACTCCATGGAGGCAAGGATTTTGAAGCTCTGTTTCACACATTTTGAGCATGTGGTCAGGAAAGTCCAGTCCTTGGAAAAGGACATCATGCTTGGAAGGGTGGAGGGACAGCACAGGAGAGGAAAAGCCTAGATGAGATGGATTGACTCAGTGACTGGAGAAATGGGGTTAAATCTGTTGGAGACAATGAGGTTGGCTCAGGATAGGGCAGGATTTAGAGTTATTGTACATAGGGTCTTAATGAATCTCAGGTGACTCAACAGCACATAACAACAACAATGTGATTTAACATAAAATTATGTGTATTTATAAAAATTAAGAGTGTATGAAAATATCTTAGAGTGATGCTTTATAAAATCCTATTATGTATTATTTTTATATAGCACAATAATTGTTGTTGTTAGGTGCCACTGAGTTGAGTATAATTCATAGCAACCCTATGAACAAGAGATCTGAACCCTGTTCTGTCCTGTGCCATCCTCACATTTCCTTACACATAAGAACCCATTGCAGCAGTCACCATGCCAATCCACCTGGTTGATGGTCTTTCTCTCCTTCGCTGACCCTCCACCCTTCCCAGCACCATGTCCTTCTCCAAGGAAGAGCCTCTCCTAGCAATACGCCCAGAGTATGTGAGGTGAAACCTCATCATTCCTTTTTTTTTAACTTAGATAGCATCTGTTTTGTTTATTATGGTCCAAATACACAATGCTCTTGTCGAATAAAAGCATATGGTACAGATAAAGACAAGCCATGGCAGCCCAGCAAAAGTTGTTTTAGGGTCAAATTACAGACCACCCAACAGTTCACATTTTAGGAATTTGAAATGTCTAAAATTAGATAAGGTGGTTTCACAAAAAGAAGAAAAAAAAAGGTGAAGGAGGGAGAAAGGGTCTCATCAACACCTTAGGAAAGGTTAGCTAAGAAGAATATCTTACTTATAAGGGATAAATGCATAAGAAATGCATAAACTTTGTGCAGGTTAATGCAATATTAAACACAGTAGAATATATAGACCTCATAATATTTTTGTGAAGGCATACACAAAATGTCTCCAAGCACTTTTTAAGGAAAAAAAAATGCAGAGCCTAACTTAAGGAGCATTCTAGATAAAAATATTTATTTTAAGGGGCATGGAAGCCTCATCATTCTTGCCTCCAAAGAGCACTCTGGTTGCACCCTTTTCAAGACCTATCTGTTTGTTCTCTTGGCCATCTACAGGATGTTCTGTGCTCTTCTCCAACACCACAGCTCAAAAGCATCAATTCTTTTTCTGTCATCCTTATTTATTGTTTAGCTCTTGGATGCATAGCAAGCAATCAGAAAGACTATGGCCTGAATCAGACACACCTTAGTCCTCAAACTGACATTGTAGCATTATAAATTGTATTCTCCTGATTATGCTCATTTTAAAAAAAAATATGCTGCCATTTAAAAAAAGTTATGCTGCCATTCAAGGAATATTAATGAACATTATATTCTTATTTTTTGTGTTTAGTCTTTGAAAGTCAGTGCACATTTCAAGTGCTCAATATTGACATGTGGTGGGTGGCTACTTCAATGGGCAGCTGAGGTGCTGCCTGTCAGGTAATAACAGTAGACATAGGCAATAGTCAAGCAGTAGGACTTGTGATTGATTGGTTGGAGGGTGGGTAAGGGAGATAATAATGAAGATTTCCAATTATTTGGGTAACTGATACTTAGATTAAC